ATTCTTGACACTGCGCGTCACCCCACCATCCCATCCAGACCCGATCGCAAGGCGAGTTGCCCTGATCAGGAAAATGCTGTTCCCCTTCGACGCCAGCGGCGTTTTCTTCCTCCTCCTCCTCCTCCTCTTCATCCTCCTCTTCCTCCTCCTTGTCGTCCTCCTCCCCCTCCTCCTCCTTCTCCTCCTCCTCCTCCTCCTCCCTCATCCTCCTCCTCCTCCTCTCGTCCTCCTCTCTTCCTCCTCCTCCTCCTCCTCCTCCTTCTCCTCCTCCTCCTCCCTCCGCTCTCATCCCTCCTCCTCTTCCTCCTCCTCCTCCTCCTCCTCTTCTCCTCTCCTCTCCTCCTCTCCTCCTCCTCCTCCTCCTCCTCCTCCCTCCCCCCTCCTCTACCCTCCTCTTCCTTCCTGCTCCTCTCTGCCCCCTCGGGGATCTACTGACCCGTGTCAATCCAGACCTGGGTCAGTCAGGCTTTGCAGATTCCTGCAAGATCCTGCAGGACCCTGCAAGATCTGGCGCCCAAGCCCCGGTCAATGCACTCCTGGCCCTGCGGGATCCTGCAAGATCAGGCGCTCTGACCGACCCCTGTTTGCATTGACACCCGACTCTTGAGCCCCGATCCCCCCTCCCCTGATCTCTCATCCCTCCCGCTCTTCCCTCCCCCGCCTCCCTCCTCTTCCGCCCTGCTCCTCTCCGCCCTCCGCCCCCCCCTCCCAAGCCGCGCTGCGGCGGCGGCGGCGCCTCCTCCTGCTTCCTGCCCAGGGCGATCTCGCCCTGCAGGTCCTGCGGCAGCCCCCCAGGCGGCGCCGCGCCGGCCGAGGCGCGCCAGCTGCCGCCCGTGGTCGTCGTCGTCCTCCTCCTCCTCCTGCTGCCCTCCGCCTCTCCGTAGTCCGCCCTCGCCCGCCCGCCCGCTCCTCATTATGCTTTTTGTTGATCCTTCGTTTTCCTTCCGTCCCTGCTTCTTCCTCCTCCCCCCCTCGTCCCCCTCCTCCTCGTCGATGTCCTCCTCCTCCTCCTCCTCCTCCTCCTCCTCCTCCTCCTCAATCTCCTCCTCCTCCGTCTCCTCCGTCTCCTCCGTGTCCTCCTCCTCCTCCGTCTCCTCCTCCTCCTCCGTCTCCTCCTCCTCCTCCAACTCCTCATCCTCCTCCGTCTCCTCCTCCTCCTCCTCCTCCTCCTCCTCCTCCTCCCAGTCTTCCTTTTGCTACGACTGCGGCCGACGGCGGATGACGAGGACGGACGGATGATGACGGCCGACGACGACGACAACGACGACGAGCATAGATGACAGACGACAGACGATCGACGACCGACGACGACGATCTATGGACGACCGACAATGGACGACCGACGATGGACGACCGACGATGGACTACGACCGACGACGTCCTCGATGATGTCCGTCAGGATCGCCAGGATGCCCTTGGCCTCCGCGAGGGGCGGGCGTGCGGCGGCTGGGGGGGAGGACATGGCAGGCCGAGGAGGAGGATGACGAGGAGGTCGAGGGGGGTGGAGGAGGACGGCAGGTCGAGGTATGGAGAGGAGGAGGGGGAGGAGGAGGAGGAGGAGAAGGAGGAGGAGGAGGAGGAGGGGGAGGAGGAGGACGAGGAGGAGGAGGAGGACGAGGAAACGGAGGACAACGGGTCAGGGAGGAGGAGGAGGAGGAGGAGGAGGAGGAGGAGGAGGAGGCCTAGGGGGACGAGGGAGCAGGAGAAGGAGGACGAGGACGAGGAGGGCGAGGAGGGAGGGCGGAGGCGGGAGCAGGACGAGGAGGGGCACGGACACTCGCGCGGAGACTCCGGCCGCCTCGCGCCACGCCGGGACGCGGCCGAAAGAGGTGGCCCGTGGGGGAAGGGGAGGAGCACGAGGAGCTGCAGGATGAGGAGGCAGGCGATCAAGGGGGGAGCTGGAGGAGGAAGACCAGTGGAAACCCAAGACGCAGGAACGATGTTCCCTCCCTCCAAGTTCCGTCTTCACAGGCCCCCCAAAGAACGTTCCCCAAACAATGTTTGCACCTATGTCTTCTTGCTCGTGTTCGAAAGAACTGGGCCTGGATGTCGGTCTGGCCAACTTGCTCCGCTGCCGCCGTCGCCGCCCGTCGCCAGTGTCCCTTGCCGCTGCTTCTGGGCTCGGGCGTCGGTCGCCGCGCTTGTTGCCGCCGTCGCCGCCCATCGCCGCCGTCCGTCGCCGCTGCTTCTGGGCCCAGGTGTCGGTCGCCGCGTTTCTTGCCGCCGTCGCCGTCGCCCAGTTGCACCCCCCCCTTGCGTTGCAATCGACTGCAATCGATTGCGATCGATGCCCCTTTCCTTAAAAGAATTGGGATCTCCCCCCCAAGCTTTATCGACCCCCCCAAGGACGCTGCAGTTTGCACACGATCCTGCCCCATCGTTAGTTCTAAGTAGGAATTCCTGCTATCCCACCCAGGCCGTTATCTCATCCTCTTATCCTTGTCAAACAATACTTGCGCACACATTCGTTTATCAACAAGTCATCAATGTCCAATACTCCCATGCAAACTACGCGACAAAGTCCACACGCGCGCCTCGTCGAGCGCTCCTGTAGAGAAGATTCAGAGCCCTTAGGCATCGTAGGGGCTTCAAGATCGAGGCTCCCAAACCCATATAAGACACAGGGAAACATGTTTTTGTTAGTTCCGAAAAAAAATGTATGCGCGCGTTCTCTTGCGAATTCGTATGGGAAGCACAATTGTTCTTCAGCTTTTTTGTTAAAGGAGGCCATGCATGCCTCTCGCGCGCATGTTGACATCCTTCGGACGTCCTTGCGCGCTTGCTGGGGGGGCACGATCTGTGTCAAACAATACCATGCGGGCCACTCGCGCGCGTCAGCCGCGCGCGCATGCCGAAATTAATCCATCGCCGACGCGTGGACACCATCATCGTCATCGGCGTGACCAGCCTCGGTGCTGTCGTTGGCCTTGCTGCTGTCATCGTCATCATCGTCACCATCATCGCTCTCATCATCATCGTGTCCCCCTTTGCCGACGTCACCCCTGAATCACCAACTCGCAGCATCACATAGCTTACACCCCATGTACTGCACCACATAGGCTGCACACTATACTTGCCGACACCGCATCGATTGCAACAACAGGTGTCATTACATAGCCCACACCCCCTGGATCCGACCACGCCGTTTACACCACATAGCTTACACCACATAGAGAAGTGGGCTCGCTTCACATAGCTTGCCCTGCATACATGACCTGCGCCACATCTATTGCATTGCGCCGACTCCACCACTTAGATTGCGCACCACTCAACTTGCACAGCAACGCTTGCACCCCATACATTGCACCACGTAGTTTGAACAACATAGCTTGCACCACGTCGATTGCACAATATAGGTAAACATACGAGTATGTACATTGCACAAACACATAGCACAACACCGATTGTCCCACATAGTTTGCGCAACACTGGTTGCTAGAAACGACATGCTGGGGGTCCACGATGACTGACATGTACTCATTGCTATTAGGTCCCATTGGAAGACTACTGTCTGATAGCCCCCAACCAGGCCAAAATACGATTACTGGAACTCCAGCGCCGCGAACCAAAGTGACTGTTACTCCCTGACAATCCTGAAACTATCTGAACAATCGCAGAGCCCTAGTCCTGGAACTTCAACACAGCAGTTTAGCATGACTGTTGCGTCCTGGCAACACTGAGTAACGCCAGAACAAAATTCTTGTGGCTTCAAAAATACAAACTCTTGAAACTGTTGTATGAAGAATGTGTGTGTGGCCTTGAAGCGAGGGTCATATCTGAGAGGGAACAGCTCTCCATCCTCGAACCTGTTGGAACATGTGGGCGTCGGTGGAACGATAGCTACGTTTTGAAAGAAAAACGCGCCCTCCATCCTTGAAGCTGTTGCACTTCGACGTTATTTCAAAAAAATGCACGCGGCGCGGAGGAGATAGCCACATGTCGAACACCACCCACACTCCATCCTTGAAGCTGCTGCACGTTTCTACAACAGCCATGCACGGCACTTGCGCGAGAAACACCTCGTCCGTCACTCGCGAAACTGCTGCAACTTTCAAGCTTCAGGATCGCACATGGTGACGAAATCTCAGGCGGGACGCCGGCCCCCCCTACTGTCACGCCTGGGCCACGGGCGGAGGATGCGGGGGAAGAATTGCGGGTGAAAGACGACGGGGGAAAGGAAGGTGAGATGGGCGGAAAAAATTGGGAGAGAAGGGGATGAGGATGACGGGGGGAAGGATGGATGTGGCAGAGGATGGAAGCATTATATGCGGGAGGCATCAGGGGGAGGGGGGAAGACGGCGGATGGCATGACATCCGACCCCTCCCGCCCACCCTGTCCAATTGCACAAACTTGTGCTCCATCCGCGGACACGTGTCATAGTGGGCCTGTATGTCCACAGCAAGACCACGTAGTGTTATGCGCAATCGGAACAAGGGGACATGCGCCCATAGGAAAAGAAGGTGGCAGATGAGAAGAAGGGCGAGCAGGAGAAAACAACAATGATACTGAGGAAGGAGGGGGGCAAGGACGAACAGCACTAGCAGGAACTGGAGCGGGAGGAGTAGGAGGACCAAGGGGTGGCGGATGAGTGGAAAGCAGGGGGATGACAAGGCAACGTCGAGGAAAAACTCGTATCCAGGAAGGTGGCGCGAACTGGGGCGAGAGCGCCATTCTGAACGACGGGAGCAATGCACCGACCCTCGTATAGGAACCGCGCTGCAGCCGAAACACCATTTGGGAAGGACTGAGAACGTGCGGGTTGGAAACAAATCGTGACAAGCAAACATCAGACCCATTTGGGGTGCGGCAGGAGCTAGGTGCGACCGCGCCATATCTGACATCATTACCCCTTCCCGCCGATCCCTTCGCATCGCGCTGTGTTCTATGTCTGCCGACGGGTGGGACGGGTGCGGAAGCGGAGGCGGAGGAGGAGGAAGAGGAGGAGAGGAGGAGGGAGGAGGAGGAGGAGGATGAGGAGAAGCAGTCATTCGCCAATCATTTCCGTATTAGTGCAACATACAAAGCATTTTGTGTAAACCCGCCTCGGGTTCGCGTGACAACGGACAACCGCGCCAGGGTCGCCGAGAAGCAGTTGACTGTGCAACTTCCTATGGCTCCCTTCCTGGTCTAGGACTGAATATGCCCACTCTTTCGGGCACCCATGGTCCAGTCCGTATCCAGCGCTTCGGCGTGTGATTTGCGATCCTCTTCAGGACCTGCCACAACCAACCACACGGGGCAGGCCGACGCGTCACGAACGACACCTCTGTGTTCGACTGTGCGAAAACACTACGCGTACCTCTTGAATGCAAAGATACACTGTGTTTGGCTGCATTCGGGGACTCTTCGTATACACCAAAATTGCCAGAATATGTCAAGCCAGGCTATGAGAACCTGCTGCGTTGGCCTTCAAAGAAGGGAGGAAACAACTGCCCCCTCTTTCGTGACACCGCCGGCAACCGCGGCTAAGCCGGGCGATTGCCCCTTTTCCTTGAGCGGGCACCAACCACGGCCCAGGGGTGTGAGCCACCCGACCCCTGCGTTAGGCGATCGTGGACTATCACAGCGCACCTGCAAAGCCCCCCCCTTTGGTAAAGCCACCATTGTTACCTCTCTGGCTGTTGGGAAAAAGCCGCACCACCGAAGACGAACTCCTGGAGAGTCCTTCGGCTGATAACCAATCATTCGCCAAGCATATCCATATTAGTGCAACATACAAGGCATTTTGTGTACACCCGCCTCGGGCTCGCGTGACAACGGACAACCGCGCCAGGGTCGCCGAGAAGCAGTTGACTGCGCAATTCTCTATGGCTCCTTTTCTGGTCTAGGACTGAGTATGCCCACTCTTTCGGGCACCCCTGGTCCAATCCGTCTCCAGCGCTTCGGCGTGTGATTTGCGATCCTCTTCAAGACCTGCCAGAACCAACCACACGGGGCAGGCCGACGTGTCACGAACGACATCTATGTTTCCGACTGTGCGAAAACACCACGCGTACCTCTTGAATGCAAAGATACACTGTGTTTGGCTGCATTCGGGGACTCTTCGTATACACCAAAATTGCCAGAATATGTCAAGCCAGGCTATGAGAACCTGCTGTTTGGGCCGTCAAAGAAAGGGAGAAATAACTGAAGGAGGAGGAGGGAGGAGGAAGGAGGAAGGAGGAGGACGAGAAGGAGAGAGGAGGAGGAGGAGGAGGAGGAGGAGGAGGAGGAGGAGGAGGAGGCGGGAGGAGGAGGAGGGAGGACCGAACTTGCCCCCCCCCCTCAAAGGACCCCGCACTATGCCCCGCGCAAGCACAAGGAGGGGAGCTGCGCATACATTGGTGGCGGATGGGCAGGAGGAGGACGAGGAAAGGAAGGAGGATGATCAAGGAGGCGGAGGAAGAAGAAGTGGGAGGAGGAGGAGGAGGAGGAGGAGG